CTCGTGTAATTCTTTCCCACAGGCAGGGCACACGCTTACTCCTTTCAGTCCCCTTTCAACTTTAGTCCAATTACCTCAACCTAAGGTTGGTCTTAGTATGGTCACAAAAGTAAAACCTTATCTATTTTCCTTATCATTCCATTGAACTAGGTTTTTGTTAAACATCTATATTTATGGTAAATGGAGAAAAATTCAAGATTTTTCCTTAAAATTATACTTACCTACTTAAATTATACTTACTTACATTTGCCTTTAAAACAACACTACTTAATTCCCAATACACAGTATTTGACTGCATCTTAATCTGTGATATAAAGGGCATTTTTTTCTAGAAAAAATGCATTTTGAGTTTTAAATAACTTTCAGACTCTAGATTATTTAATGTCACTAATTGATCTAGTACAAATGCACCTTAAGAATATTTTACACAAGCTAAATGCTGTAACATTATACAAAGGTCAGCTATTTTTTAACAAAATTTTTTAACAAAATTTCCTCTATTTTTCAAAGTGCCAAGTTATTTAAAATAACTATATATTCCAGTAGAAATAGAAATAGAGAATGAATGTATATGATATTGTGCTTAAGGGAGAGTATTGTCACTGGATATCAAATATGGATAAATTATTGTATGAAATATAATTGCTAATCAAAAATAAAACTTAAAGTGTTTAAGATATTATTTCAAAATTCATAAACATTAAAATGTGCACAAATTTAAATTCATGATATAAAGCTAAGTGAAAACATGTTGTTAAATGGAGAAATGCATATATATCTGAAGATAAAAAAACAAACAACATACAGTATATTGATGTTTGTACAAAATTAGTTAATATTTATTTATTAGATCTAAAACCAGGCTAATTTGGAAGAATACTTCTTTGATAACATTTATGTATACAAAAATTGACTCTTTGGTTTATAATTTCATCCTTCTAATTTTAAGTATTCTAGAACCAAACTGACTATTAAGACAAACTTTTTTTCAAACAATATCACATGTAGTTAATGTGAAACAAAGACTCTTCTTTACACCCCTTGGCCATAGTCATATTGAGTCAACAGATATTCACGAAGACAAGTATCTGTGGAATAAAAGTTCAGTAACTGGATAATCTGGAGTAAAGTTAAAGTTGAATGTAGCCAGAGTTCAACTTCTTTCTTGCTTGTCTGGATCACACTAGATGTCGTCTTGATTAAACAAGGTCATTTGCTTCCATAAAAAGTAGACTGCCAACATATACCCATCACTCAACACACCACATTAGAAATGTGGCTAATCCCAATCATAATAGTAGAGAGATACCAGCATGTTCAGGATGTAGGCACTTCAACTATTCTGAAGACATCTGCCCAAAACTACCTTGAAATTGTACCTATCTTTTTGAGTTTCTGCGTACAAACTAATGTACGATGTAGAGAGTAAAAACTGCCTTACCAAACCATAATATGAAAATACATCTAAGTGCCATTATCTTTCCACCAATATTGATATGGGGAGAAAACGTGTTTTGCTCGAAATGATTATATCCATAAAGCTGGATAGTGTCTGTTTAAAACTTAAACTCTTGAGTAAATTATCGTATTACGTGCTTACTCAGTCTTAACCCTGAGGAATTTCTCAGCCACAGAAACTTTGGAAAGTATAGATTCTGAAATACAGATGTTTCTGGAGGAAAAAATAAATAAATAAAAGGGAAAAAAAGGTAGAAGAATATAAATCTGTGCAAAAGCCCAAGCTACTTGTCACAGGTGGGTGAAATAAAGCACCCTGCACTTCTCAATTCCACTAGGGAGAGGAGGGATTCAGGGACTATTTAAAAGCTATCTATGCTTCCAGAAATGATGGCAGTGGCTGTACAAAAAAGCAACAAGCTTTTGCTTGTAATTAAACAGGATTAAAACTAGTCTATGTAATTTCAGCTTCAAAGTTATCTTGCTCTACATTTTAGGGCCTCCAATTTCAGAGCTGCCTAAAGACAATTAGCCCATTATCCCCTTAGCCCATTATCCCCTTGCCCCATCTAAGAGACAAAGAATGGGTAATATTAAAGTCAATTTGGTTTGGTTAGCTATGGGTTCTGCCTTTGGTGAGTGGGTAAAGGACCATGGTTCATAATTACAAAAGTGACTTTTTCTAAGAGCAAAATGAAAAATCTCTTTCATTCACTGGTCTCCCATTCTAATGATTTTTAATAATTTTATACTAATATATGAAGATTATACAATTGCCACAGGATTCTGAAAACTAACCCACTAGCAATTAGGTTTTTTTCATTGCAACTGAATTTATCTGATTATAAGGAAATGCACATTCCAAAGGTCATTTAAAAAACGCAAAATTTTTGTAAATACAACTGGCTACTTTTCCTGTTATTATTTTTCAAGAAAGAAAAATAACTTTCCTTCTCAATTTTATTTTTATGATATTATTAGGAACTGTGCCAAATTTCCAATCTATTACACAGCTTTCCAAAACAATGGGACTCTTATAACAATAAGATTATGAGTCTTAAAACCCACTTTTATGAATAATGTTAAACTGAGTTTATATTCTGGATTTGTGTTTTTAAAATGCTATTGCTGTACAGTTACTGGTATATTTCTACAATTTCTAAAGATAGAGCAAAGGAGAGAGACAACTTTCAGGAAAGGTTCCTCAATCATGGTGGAGTGGAAGCCAACAAGGTATGGTAAGGTATAGTACCAAACCTACAGGGGGCACCTAGGTGGCTCAGTTGGTTGAGCGTCCGACTTCGGCTCAGTTCATGATCTCGCGGTTCATGAGTTCGAGCCCCACATCGGGCTTGCTGCTGTCAGCATAGACCCAGCTTCGGTCCTCTGGCCAACCCCCCGTTGTACCCCACCCCTGGTCACACTCTCTCTCAAAAAGAAAAAAAAAAAGGTATTAAAACTACAGGCTTTTGTGTTTAAACCCAGTTATACCAATTCAGAGCCATGCAACTCTTGGAAGATTTTGTAACTTCTCTGAGGACTAGTTTCCTCATTTGCAAAAAAGGATGTACGTACTTCACAGAGCCATTGTCAAGAGTTAAGGGGATCATATATTTAACATTGAGTTCCATTCCCTGACCAGCTTCCTAACCCAATGAACTGCTTTCCCTAGCACAAACACAGGTTAAATTCACTTATAGTTCCTTTTCCTTCTTTTTGTTGTCACAGGTTAACCAGCACAAGATCAAAATGGTGGCCTAGCAATTAAACCTGGCCTGCTAAGTTACAATCGGAAATTAATGTCAATTTCATTCCCTATCTCACCTACTATGATTATTTTAAGCCCCTGCGTATCCTTGTTGTCCAGTGGAATTCAACTAAACCTTTCTTAGCAGATTACTGTTGAATCAGAAAATATAAACATTCTCTCATTTAATTCTCAATAGTTCAGGTGAGGCCAATATTGAACACATTTGGGAGGGATATGACTGCATGTTAGACACTTTAGCACCATTACCTTTTAATTGCGTGAGTTAGGGGCCTTACCTCTCATTTATCACCTCAATCATCACCTACAAATAATGAGGACAAAGGTACCGCAAAATAATTGTTGTGGGAACTATAGGTTCTATAAAAGTGTTCAATAAATGTTAGGTTTTATTTTCCCTACTGTCATGTTTTCTCTTGTTATGTTCTTATCATGGTATTTTAATACTATGGACAATTATTTTAATGACTGACATTTTAAGGCTGTTCTTTTAATGACATAGACATTATTTAACTTAGTCTTGAATTTTTAAACAACATACTGGCCACACTGCAGCTCAGAAGCTGTTAAATAATATATTTAAAGTCTTATAGAAACACTTCACACTTCTCAAATGATGCATTGTTTCTTGAATTCTGTACTTTGTGGATGAAGTAAAGTCAAGTTAAATCTCTTTAATGGATGTGGGCCTTTAATTTCATTACTCTAAGAAAGGCAAAGGGTATCTTCTGATGTAAATATCATCATCAGATTAAGATATCGAAGGATTTAAAACTTTCAACCAGGCTCGACTGTCATGGAAGAAATGGGCCAGATACCAATTCTCAGTTTCATCACAGAACTTTTATGAAAACAGTGCACAGTCATATTGTATTTGGCACAGTGTAAAAAAGATCAAGGATTTTTGTAAGCAAAACACTAAGCATTGCCATACTAATCCAAGATAAAAATTTAGGCAGAAGTTTACAATTCAAGTTTCCCAAATATCTATTGCTTGCTCTAAGTTTCAAAGAAGGAATGGTTATAAAAGTTCAGCAGCTGACTGGTGAGTGGAATATAGGCTCCCTTGGTACAGAGTGGAAAGAAACACAACCTGGATGGTTTTCAAAAAATTAGGAAAAGAAATTCCTACCATGTACTATATGAGGCTGAGAGTCTGCAAACACCTCAGTTAAAATGAAAGATGTGCTGAGCTATATAACTTAAATTGTACTGTTGCTGCCCAAGCAGTTGCATATGTTCCACAGGAAAATTAATAAAACACTAATAAAATATAATGAGTTACCCTGTAGAATTTAAAGATAATTAAAACCCAAAAAGGCTTTGTCCTATTTTCTCATAATGTGAAGATATGAGAACCCATAAAGATATATTATAAAGGGCCATTGAGAGTATAATGATCCTTTTTTCAAGGGAAAGGCTTTAGAATGAATGCTTAAAATCCATACACCATCTCTCCACTACAGTTTCTATTTTGAGACGTAAGAAGATCTTCAGTCCGAAGAAAACAATTACATTTTTTTTTTACCACTACCATTTAAAAGTCATGTGTATAGAGACATTCCATCTACACTGCAATTAAGTACAACTAACTTTATCACACAGAACTTTACTGTATACATTAGTACACTGGTAAACATTTACATCATACCCCCAAACTCTGTCCCTATAGAAATCTATTGACATGTTACAAAAACCATCCACAGGGTTCTTTGGACAAATATTTATAGTTACAGTCATTTGTATTTTTAAAACTATTTGAAGTTACAGTATTTCATTTATTTTTGTGTATGAAGTTTCCAAACTTCTGCATAAATCCTCGGAACTTGTTTTCATTTGGCTGGTATGAGTGATATACGCCAGTATTGTAATTAAGCAGTGGGCTGGACCTGCCATAACTATTGCCCACAGTTGTGGATTTTATTTCTGGGCGATGCACACCAGTATTTGGCAGGTTGCTTGCAGGCTGAATAGAGCTTTCAATCTTATAAAATGGCTCAAAACGACTGTAAACGCGCCTGTCAGTTGAGTGAGATCTTAGAAGCTCATTGGGCTTTGGTCTTGGAGAAGAAGCTGGTTTTCTTTCAGGAGCAAGAACTGTATTAATCTCCTTTGAATCTCGGTATTGGATCTGCTCGGTGTTAAATCTAGGGGCAGAAGCATCACCTGCCCTTTCCAAGAACTTGTTCTCAACTGGACCTGAAGAAGGTATTGTTTTACTACCTTCCTCGGATGGAGAACTGATCCCCTGGGATGGGCTAACTGTTACATCTTCCTTACTCTTGTGAATACTGCCTTGAGAGTTTGATGAGGAAGAACGCTTTCTTCTGGGAGATGAATCAATTTTTGGTTCTGACTTCTTTGTTTTTTGATTCTCTTCAGCCTCAGAAACTAACGTGTCAGAACTGCTACACATTCTATAAAAGGCAGGTGCTTTATTTTTGGACAGATTTTCTTTCTTTTCTGGGGTAAGGCTAAGTAATGACCTTAACTTCTGAGACCCCTTTTTCAAAAAACTTGGCGAACCTTTAACTTCCTTTTTTGAAGTCAGTTCTTTGCTAGCTTCATCTTTATTCATTTCAAGCAAAGCAGCAATGGAAATTGACTTGGTGGTAGTGCCACTCGGAGGGTCTCTCTTGATGACCTCCCTGTCCTCTTCCGCGCTCTGAGTCACATTGTGCATGCTCTTAGAACTTTTCAGCAAATCCTCTTTGGGTTTTTCTGGTTGTCTAACTCGACTCCTGGTGAGTGTACTATATACATAATGCTTACTGTGTCCATGATCTAAATTGGCTTTTGAGTGGTCAAAGAATGGAAAACTTCGCCTTTTGAGCAGATTCTCATTTTGTTGATTCTTTGGATTTTCTGTCTGCTTATTTACACACAAGGATGTATATAAATAGTTGTTTGACTCTGGATGGCCATTTGTAGTTTGATGTAAGACAGCTGAGTGGTTTTCGGGAACCTGCAAGGTGTGCATTTTGGGTGCCTCCGACTGCAATGGGAGCTTCGGGGTTGATTCCGGCAAGGGCTTGTCTGTCACATGCTGTACACTCGTAGGGGTGTCCAGGACCTCCTTAGGTGTGTCACTTCCCTGGGAACCGACGACAGTTGAATTTGAGGAGCCGGTTGTACAACTGTTAACTTCCTGCTGCTCAGGTAAAGTGGGTTTAAACACAAAAGAGGAACGAAGCCGAGAATGAGTATAAAGGGCGTTGGCTTTCAAATTTTCAGAACTTTCGTAGCCCTCAAACCGGTCACCTAGAGCCGATCCATTTGAATCAGGTGCAGCTTCTGAATGATCATTTAAGTAGGATTCGATTCTCCAGTTACGCAAGAACGACTTTGTGGTATGTTCAAGGGTTGGCATTCGCTGTTGCAAAAAGCGAATATGATTATCTGTCCCGTTAAAAGACCGCCGCACATTTGAGTTCCTTTCTGCGAGATTTGTTGTTTTTCTCTGGGCAAGCCGATCAGCAAAACTCTGGGCAGGTGTATTACGGTGACCTGCATAGCCGCCTCGTGATGAGGATGCCACACTCAGACTATCCGAAGGCTTTTTCCAATTACCTGGAGGATTGATGTTTCGATTCAGAGCCCTGTTAAGCAGCAGGTATGGTGTTGTTTCTGGCTGTTCCCCAGCATAACTATGCCTCTTCCAATTTTCATTTAATTGACTGGATTGGTACTGACGGACTGTATTTGGACCATTAAAATTTGGAATAAAATGAGGCTTGTAGCCATGATTTCTTATGCTATATTTGTCATGTTCATTTAGAGTGTATATCCCTCTGTTTTTGAAGTAACTAGAGTCTAGTTTGTGAATTTTGTCCTGTCTGCCAAAAAGGTTTCTTTGGCTGGAAACAGAAGCTAGTGAAGAAACTGAACGCTGGTAGGTGCCATTCTCCCAGAGTGATTTGCCATGCTTCACCCTTGCTGATTCTTCCTGGGCGAATGGACTGGGGACACAGGATCTGGCATAGAGAGTTCTAAATTCTTCATCAAAGGACTCAACAAGTTGTCCTGTGATTATCTGAACCATGCTGAGGTGAGCTTTCTCAAACGACCACATGTAGCTGAAAAAGAATCAAAATGGGAAAATTTTAATTTTGCTGTTAAAAGATTAAGGACAATATATAAATCCACTAAGCAAAATTTGTCATTTAATGTCAACAAGAGTATTTTTTGCTTGTTTTCCTCAGCTACGACAATTTAGAACATCTTCAATCGTTACTTGCTTGCAGTCCCTGGAATCCCTACTCCCCCAATTCATAATTAACATTTTTTAAAAATGTTCTTAATGTTTATTTATATCTGAAGGAGAGAGATACAGAGCATGAGTGGGGAGGGGCAGAGAGAGAAGAAGACACAGAAGCCAAAGCAGGCTCTGTCAGCACAGAGCCCAACGCAGGGCCTGAACTCACAAACCATGAGATCATGACCTGAGCCAAAGTTAGACGCCCAACCAACTGAGCCACCCAGGTGCCCCTAAACATTTTTTAATGTATATATTTTTTTTTTAATTTTTTTTTTCAACGTTTATTTATTTTTGGGACAGAGAGACAGAGAAACGGGGAGGAGCAGAGAGAGAGGTGAGACAGAAACAGGCTCCAGGCTCTGAGCCATCAGCCCAGAGCCCAGATCAGGGGGGCTCGAACTCACGAGACTATGGTAGATGGTGACCTGGCTGGAAGTCGGGGACTAACCGACTGCTTCACCAGAGCCATGCTTTAATGTATATTTTTGAGAGAGTGAGACAGAGTGTGAGCAGGGGAAGGGCAAAGAGAGGAGAACGATGCGAGCGGCTCCGGCTCCTGAGCTGTCAGCACAGAGCCTGATGTGGGGCTCGAACTCATAAACTGCAAGATCATGACCTGAGCCAAAGTCAGGTGCGAAATGAGCCACCCAGGTGCCAGCCCCCATTCATATTTTAAATAACGAAGCAATTCAAGTCCTGGCCTTGAAACTACCCATAATTTTTGACATTACTTTCTAGAAGTCCAAAGAAAAGCCTGCTGTACATTTTGCATCATTGCCTACTAAGATGTTATGGAATAAAAAACATTGTATTTTATATAGAGCATCCTGGCAGAATTCAGGCAAGCCAGTATCAGTAGGAAAGTTGAGAGACCTGTCTTCTGCTGAGCTATCCACCCACATGAGCTTGGGCCTCAGTTTCCTCATGTCCAAATTGCTAGCATAATCCTACCATTCCTTCTAGTTCTAGCATGTTAAAATGCAAGATAGGCCTTTGCTAATACATGCATTTTATCTCTGTGGCCTACTTAGTAAGTATACTTTGGGAAGCCAGGGCTTTGGGATGCCAAGTGAGATCTTTTAATATAAAATACAATTTCTAGGAAGTTAATGTTTGTAACTACTTTATAATACTTTGTGGAATTTCTACAATTTAAAAATGACAGTTGGAATTTCACATAAAAATATAAATCTGACATGTAAAAATTTAGATAATGTAACACAGAGTCACTGAGCTAAAAAAGGAATCTCTAGTATGCTATATATCAAATACTGTATGTGATATAATAGGGGTTAATAAAGGAAAAAGGAGACAGAGACATTCTCTACAATGAACGAGCTTACTGTTTAAAGAGGGGACACAATAGCAAAGGCAGATGAAAATACTAAGAGAATGTGTAGAGTAAGAATTTAAAATATTCAAAATATGATAAAGAGTGTACAACTTAAGAATCTTACTATTCTGATATACTCAGTTTTATCTAGTATGCTTACTGAAAGCATGGTATGAGAAGAATCATTTACCGGGTGCTCTTTTTGTGCAGATGTGTGGGCCACCAGGCTGACTTAAAATAAGTGACACGATGTGAATGATTGAAGGAATTTTCAACCCCACTGCAGATATGAATACAAAATTTGTGGGAAAGAGCAAGTAAAGGAATGAATAGTCAGCTATCACCTATGAGAAAAGCCCCAGAGACAAGCAGGGTTTTGGCTGTATTCTGAAAGAGGCCAGATAACCCCGAAGTTCAAGCACGAAAGGCATGGAACAGTTTGTGTGGAAGAAGAAACATACAGGAAAAGAAAGGAAGCAAGAATGGCCCTATTTTGGTTGAACAGAGAAAACAAATTCTGTTTAGCTGAAGTAAACAAGTTATATCACAGACTGATGAACAAAGGGGGAAAATCTGGAAAGCAAAGCAGAGAGTTTGTGCAGGATTTATTTCCAAATTCAGATCAATTAAAATAAAAAGATGTTTGAGGACTGATTATTTTCCCGGTAGCTCTTTGTAACACAGATGTGAAGGATGAGGGACTGCATTTACTGTGATGAGTAAAAGAATTGACATAAGGTGATAAGAGCCTAAGCCAGTACAGAAATTGGAATAAAGAGTAAAAATGTTGAGCCAGTAACAAGAAGAGAGAACCAGAATATTTGCATGTCCTAAAGGATGTGTATAGTTTGTGAAATAAAAATAACCTCCACGTGTTGAGCTTAGGAAACTGACAAGGTAATGGTACTGGGGAATATGTTACAACTGGAAAAGTTTTCCAGGTTTGGTAAATCAGAAAAAAATATTGTGATATCACTGCATGTAAAAGGAAGACACTCAAGGGTATATATTCAATTTGAAGATTATTCTCTGGAAACACTGAACAGCCCCAAATAAAAGAACTGTTTTACTGACCTTCAGGGAACTTCCTATAAAATGTGAGAACCCCAGCCAATCACCCTCCTGTAAACCCAACAGTTGATAAGGATTTCCCATGCGATTTCCAATAAGCATTTGAGTCCCTTATCAATACGTAGCAAAAGATCAGCAGACATTTAATGAAAGTTTAGAAGATTCCTTATAAAGCTTAAAAACTTAGATGCAAAACAGAGACCAGAACAAACCGGAGAAAGACAAATGGAGAAAACAGAAAATGCACAAATAAGAATATTTATAAAAACATAGACACATAAAAACTATAATCAGTGTCTTCAAAGCAATAGAGAAGATCATGCATCTATAAAAAAAAAACACACAAAGGTACTTTGAAAATGGTGCAATTTGCAGATATTCAAAATATTTGATAGCAAAATTTTTTTTTCAATGTTTATTTTATTTACGAGAAAGCGAGCACAAGCAGGGGAGGAGATGAGAGAGGAGACACAGAACCCAAACCAGGCTCCAGGCTCTGAGCTGTCAGCATGGAGCCTGATTCAGGGCTGGAACCCATAAACCATGAGATCATGACCTGAGCCAAAGTCGGACACTTAACCCGACTGAGCCACCCAAGTGCCCCTATAGCAAAAAAAAAAAAAAAAGGAATTAAGTTATAATAGATGTGTTAGAATTAACAATCGAGAAAATCCCCCAGACATTACAATTCTATCCACTCCCAGATAGAAAATCATAGGGGAAAAAAATAAAAAAACAATGGGAGCAGATATCCAGTTAATAAGAATTCCAGAGAGAGAGACAATAGAGACAACTGAGGAGAAGAAATGAGCAAAGAATATATGAGAAATTGTTTCAGAATTGAAAGACATGAGTACTTGGATTGCTTAGAACAATAAATAAAAAAGACCTAGATCTAGAAACATAACAAATCTGAGAATAGCAGGGAATAGAAGAGAAACCTTAGACGTTTCTAGAAAGGAGAAAAAAAAAGTTACATAAAAAGAATAATAACTGTTTGAGACTTCTCAACAGCATGTTTGATTGCCAGTCAATGTCTTTCAAATTTGAAGGAAAAATGATTCAGCTTAGAGTTCCATCTCTAGTTAAGTCATTAACCACCTAAAATTATAAATTTCTGGACTTAAAAAAAAAATTCCATGCTGATGGAAAGTATTCTTGAGCAAATGAGAGAAAAAACTATGACTTAGAAACAAAAAAGAAGGAAAAATAGGATTAAGATGGGATACAAGAAATTGTGGCTCAAACTGCCCAGGAATACGGGAAATTGCAGAACCCCAGCAGTGTTTCAGGTTAAAGATCTGCCAGTCCAGATTGGACATGACAAACTGTTGGCAGTAACTGAGCATTTGGAAAAGTTGTTCATGTGCTAAGAAATCTTCAGAATCAACTGGAAAAAACCTAGCAATAGATAAACAGAAAGCAAAGACAATGAATAAAACCAAAGCCAAATGGTCATTATTAACTTTCTTATAAAAAAGGGAAGCATATCACAAATGACTCTATGGCTCATCAGCTATCAATTCTGACACAACTTTAGTAATGTAAATTGAGACTTCTTACTTAGCAAACAATTTTGATAAAACTGTATGGGGTGAATGGCAAGCAGGAGGGAAAGTGGATATGGGTGAATAGAAATATAACCCTTCAGTCATCATACTATAAAGTCAAGACATAATACCTAAAAGTGATAGATTGAGCATTCACAGTATAATCACATTATGTAAGAGAATGGAGTAAGTATGGGAAGAACCAGCTCAAAGAATTAAACAATTGCACCTGGAGATCAGGATCCAGCAATGGAGAGACATGGAGAACAAAAACTTTTGTATTACATATCTTTTAGTAATATTTGATTTTTAAAAAAGTGTGCACATATTTACCTGGATAAAAAATAAAATGAACTTACTACTCCCATTCCCCCCAGACCCACTGTCACACTCCTGCAGTTGGGAATGTGATTATGAATTTACTTATTAAAAAGAGGCTCAAAAACTCTGAGTTCCTGGCTGGGGATCACACAGGGAAGTCTACGGAATGAAAGCAGTGACATGCTGCTGGCTGTAGCACAGATCTCTCAACGTGACAATCTTCAAGTCTGACCAGAGATGGCACCTGGAAGCCAACAACTTCGGTGAAACTTGTCTTGTGAAAGTAGCTTTTATAGAGACAGCAAGATTTAAAAAAATGCTTATAAAATTCTCTCCCAGTCAAATTTGTAGACATTACTTTACTAAATATGTTCCAGATTTCATACGACAATTTCAAACAAGGGCATCCAATTCACAATTCAATTTGCACACATTGATAAAAAGTATATGTGTTTTATCTCATCAATGTTAGTATCATGAGAGACCAAAACACTTGTCCTGTTTTTGCGATAAAACTGTCATCACAATGATTGAACCGTCACACAGTGTGTGACTGTGGTTAGTGCTGACATCAGGCCTCTCTGGAAATAAATGCTTGCAGTTTAGAATAGGAAGATGTTTTATGGCAAAGAATTTTGAACTAAAGACAGTGGCATTTTGATTTGGGCTATAAGGAAAATGATGGTGATATTGGAATATGAGACAAAGACTGGTTTTCACCAAAAATAAATTTTTAACCAATTTCTATGAAGACTGGTTCATAATTATTCCACCAGATCCTGTTAGAATACTGTTAACAGGAAAGGTCCAAGATAATTAGTAGAAAGAAGAAAAGAAAAAAAAAAAAAA